GAACTGTTGAATTTCTCTTTTAAGTTTAATTGGCATAATTTATTGGTGTTGACTAAATTGGTGTCTGTTAAATTCTCCGGATGTTAGTCAGCCAACAAGTAAGGAGGACCTTACTTAGTTGTTTATTGTCAACACATTGCTACTGTTAAGGAGGGGAAAAATAGGATCACTTGACTACTTGCATAAACTATATTCGTTGAAACCTGTATGCAATGTGTTAGGTCTAGCTGTAAGCAGCATAGCCGTCCTGAACCGAAAAAAGTTGTAACATTGTCATTTCTCCTGGGGACGCCGAGTTTCATACGACCTGATTCAGAGTTCCCAACTATTCCCTTGTAGTCTATTATTTGTGCTGACATTCCGCTTTTGCACTAATGTCCACCAACTTCTTCGACAGTGGACATTATTTGCATGCCTACTTTCGTCAATACACTTATATAATATAATAATTTAAAGTCAGATGCGTTCTTTGGAAAATCGAGTTTACTGCGTAAATTTTCGAGACTGGAACCCCAGCCTGTCGTCAGACGCAGGGTAAAGCAAAAGTGCTAGCAAACAGCCAACAGCATGAGTATGTGGGAAAATCGATAATGGCGTGTCACTTGCGCCGATCAGCTTTCGCTGTGTCTTATCCCGTCCGAATTGGCTCGCGTCTCCCCTATTTTTGTTTGAGACTTTTCTACGCGCCATCGAGCTCAGTGTGTCCGTTGATGCATTAGGTGTCCAAGTGCATGGCTTCGACGAATTCTCGGCCTTTTTTGAAAGGGCAGACGGCGAAAATACGAGTTTTGTCCCACGCGAAGGTGTGTCCGGTGTCCAGGGTACGCATGACTACTGGGACAGGTGGTCTCGTCATTTTAGAGCCAATTTGTGTTCGTGAATGTGCGCAGATGCGGACTTTCCCGTCTGACAAAAATCAACCGGCCACATGGAATTTTGTGGGCAACTTCTTCCTTATCCAAATAAGTCTCAATGAGAAGTGGGAGAGATTCGAGCCAATCCGAATAGGGCGCAAACGACACGCCATTATTGATTTCTTCCATGTACTCACGATATTGGCTGTTTATTGGCACTTATACGTTACTCTGCGCCTGACGACAAGCTAAGGTTGCAGTCCCGAAAATTTACGTAATAAAATATATTTCCCCGGATAACGCAGTCGATGTCAATTTACGTTCTTGGGACGTCTACCTTCCGAAAATAAAATAATTAGATAATTATAAAGTGGTTCGAAAAAGCTAAGTTTTGATTTAAAATTTCGTTGGGCAGATTTGGACTTTATAATTGCGCGCTATATATGCTGCTCCAAGAAAGAGATTTCCGATCAAGCGAAAAAAATTCATCAGACAGGCGGAACTTACATTGAGAGCGGCGGTGGTGTAGGCAGAGGCTTGTGGAAATTACTGCTGTTGTGCAACCAATAAGATGTAATTTTGACCCCGCCTTCGAGTTCTACAATGCCACGGTATTCTGTCGTGTAGCTACCGATCTTATCCAGCAGGTCTTTGAACGGCTGACTGATGTGGATTCTAAAGGCTTTTGTCAGAAAGTTAGAAATTTGACATAAGTCGGATATCATGAGTTGTCTTCGCCAAAAGCTAACGGCAAACTGTTGCATCTCTCAACAATGAGTTGTGAATGCACAGCTAGCCGAAAGGTTGACCGGCACCAGTGGCTTATGTAGTCCCCCTCGTTACTCCCTACTCGCAGAATTTCGTCCTAAGACAAAAATGGTTATAGGGTCTTATGGGTGAAGAATTAGGATACGCGGTGGAATATACTTTAACAACTGCTATGGCCATTTTTGTTTTAGTGTGTTTAGAAGTGTTGTTAGGTTATATCTGTTGATTTTCCTCATCTGTATTATCGTTTAACGTATTGTGGAAAAACCCAATTATCAAATTTCAGGTTTCTTGAAAGTCCTGAGAAATAGAGATGGTGGTTAGGAGATCGTCTACTTCAAATTGACTGAGGTCTAACTTACCGTTTTGGAGTTAGATTAGTATAGTCCGCGGCGCGAAGCACCCCGCACACATGCGGAACAACTTAATCCCAGC